AGATGCTATTCTGTCAAACAGATTTTCCAAAATCTGATGGATCTATGTAAAAATCAAGCATACACACTGACCCTAATAAGCACTCTCGTCAAACAGACAATAAGGAAGCGTTTTTGTCCGCAAAATGGCAGGTGGCCAAGCGCAGTAGCTTCCTTCTTCAAATCACGACCGGTAACTTAAATGGAAAGTCAGGTATTACGACATAATACAAAGCGCTGGTTGTTTCTTGTCTGTCTTCATCTAAATCTACCCTCAGTAGTCTACTTAGATTTGCTGAAACCAATTGCGTTTCCTGATATATTCAACCAGACTCGACACTGTCTTTCTTCGTTTAATCACAATTTACTCATTTCGCGTAAACTCTTTGTTTTCTTCTTTCAGGTAAACCATCGTGAGACGTGTGACCTTTATCAAATCAATTCCAGAACAGTAATTCTGGCCATTAACAAATCCATTATGTATAAGACCGGTTGAAATTAAATAAGTGAAAGTATTCGCGCCGTCAGGTTAGACACGGGCTTTGTCTCCATCTAATATGCATATGAAGGCTTCGTGAAAGAAGAAACATGTCATTAGGCAGCTACGCAACAAACACGTAAAAACGTCGTAAACGGGAAATTCAGCTGGGTTTCAGGTAAGTCTTCAGAAAACCGGATCGGTTTGCAAATGAGTGCTTTTCGCTAATTTCGGGAAATTTTTATTTAAGCAGAACACAAGGTTGACAGAAAATCGGGAACTGCGCCCACATGGTGAGTCCAAAGAATGCCAAAACTGGTTGCTGGCCTTCCAAGAGTTTTCAGCAATTTTATGAGTGGCGTATTTCCGCTATACACGTATCGTGATGTCTTGAATATCGTACCTACTGAAATGAGGCGGCTGATGCAGCACATTCTGTTAAAGCATTTAGCTGGGTTTAAACTGGGTCTCCCGAAAAATTAGGTTTGAGTGTATTTAACGCAGACTGGAGAGCTTATTCCACGCGTCGCTTGTAGACAAACAATTAGGCTTACATCGTATAAGGCAATCGCGCTAATTAATCGTAATTCAGGTTGAGTAATCAAATATCAGCACATCTACTACAATACATGCAGGATACTTCTGAAATTTAGAGGACGGAATAAACTTTTCTTGACTTCATGGATGACAGCATGTTTCACTTGAACGTTTGGATACTCGAGTCTGGATTTCCTGGTTCCACGTACTTATTTCTGGAAGAAAAACGAACGTCTGACAACCGCAACTTGGTTCTAAAATTAAAGGCAACGATGACAAAAACTTAAGGCAGTCACTTCATAATTCTTATTATTGACGCTTAGTTCGGTACGATGCACAATTTACCGACTAACCTAATGAGACTGAGAGAGCTTCTAAAACTAATTCAAGCTTAGTCAAGAAGTGAGATGCTTCTTCGGTCTGTCTGGAACCTTCGTTCATAATTTAATAACTCAAAAGAGGTGTTTGTTGCCCGGGGCATACTTCTGGTACATACATCATACTAAATCTGATCACAGTCTCTGTAAAATTGCCGGTGCTAAATCAAGTATACGACCTCTCATCCTTAAACTCGCTGGCCTCACAGAGCGGCTTTTGCACCCGCAGCTGGTTTACAGTACTGCTGTGAGTTTTAACCTTAATTTTTCCATAAATGTTTTCACTTAGAAAGCCCTGGCTTCAAACCCATAGCGAACAACAATACCATAGGTTCACGTTAGCACGTTTAGTTTACATTCATGTGACATCTTTAAAAAGTACTTACGATGGAAAAACAAACTAAAAAATGAACTAATTTGCCAACAAATTTGCTTTTTTCTGGATCCTATCTTATGTTACCCTAGCTTATGATATATTTTCTCCTTCAAGAAAAATTAGTTTGCGGCTGAGCGGATTTCCAAAACTGCGTACAGTTTGGGTTTAAGTAGAACACACGGCGGTTGACTAAAACGCGGTAACTGCACCCATCTTGTAAGCCCAATGAGGTGGAAACCAGTCGCGTGCTGTCGAATAGTTTTTAGCAGTTGATGGATTGCCTATTGTGACTCCTATACACAGAGCATCCGGATGGTTGTGCGAATCATGGGAAAGTGGGCCACACACCAACTTCATTCATAAACTCCACCATATTGCCATATCGTCAGTTATTCAAAAAAATTTAGAAGACATCGAAAGTGAGAATTTCTTGGTGACCACGGGTAATCCTACAATTTCAGATNAATCATGGGAAAGTGGGCCACACACCAACTTCATTCATAAACTCCACCATATTGCCATATCGTCAGTTATTCAAAAAAATTTAGAAGACATCGAAAGTGAGCATTTCTTGGTGACCACGGGTAATCCTACAATTTCAGATAATTAATGCGGCATTCAGATAGACTAAAACATGTCATATGGTCTACTCCACCACTGAATCCACAACACCACGTTGTTGAGAACAGTGAAAAAGATGATGGAAGGGCATTCTGGTAGAAGAACGCGAGGAACAAAACAAAAAGTGAAACATGTTGATTACAACGTCTGATGAGAACAACTTTCCGTGGGTTTTGTCAATAGTGCTTGTAGGCAAGATTCCCAAAGGTTCAATCAGAAATTGTCAGTCACTTGTCTGAGCAACGAAGTTTCAAATCGCTAGTAGTCCAAACAGTGTCCATTGTAGTGCTAGACTCATGATTCTCTAACAGGCAAACTAAGCTCATTTTCGGGGCTGGAATCATACAGTAAAATGGCTTGCAATGCTGAAGCATTTCGTCCCTTTTCCACTTGCTCCACTCGATGATTGTGTAGATATCCTGACAAACAGTGATTAATTTCGGGTAGAGTTTCGGCCGTACATTTTTTCCTCTTATTTCCATTGCGATAAAAATAAATGCTGAGATGAGAACACTTCTTCCACTATCGTCAGTCGTTCACGTTCCACACACAACGATGAGACCAACGTATGGAGGGAGACTAAGACAAAAAAGGACTGTGAAACAGGTTTCGGTTGAGAAAAATGGATGGTCCCACAGTGCCATGTACCAGAAGCAATTATTCATTTAGTCAAGACGACTTTTGCCTCCCCAACACATCACGTAAATGGTTCCTTGACAATATTTGGAAGTCATACTATCTTGGGGAATTTGGGGTGGATTTCCTGACTTGTATCACACAGTTGTGTTGGATGTGTTCAATGACACATTACTCGCATAAAAAACTCTTACGCTCACAGCTCACGTGATGCAGATGAATTTTCATCCTTCCAGGGGCTGGATGTAATAATATTACTGCCAAACGATACGCAATCACGAGCACTTCAGAAGCGACTGTTATTGTTAAAGTTACTTCGTAACCACACACTTCCCATACCAGAAGCAAAAGTCACATCAGCGTGATCCCGCATGTTTTTGACACCATGGTCGTGAATTAGCTAGCTGATGCTTCCCAACGCTTAGCCATTTGCTCTGGTATGAAAAATTGCCGAAATTTTGTTTGGCATGCGAGATTACTCAAAACAGGGTTTTGTCCTTGTAAAGCCAACTTTTAATCCAAAATATAAGACAACGCTTGGTATCAACTATCATAAGCTTCCAAAAATGTGCAAAATACAGATGGTAGACCTAGTAAATCTCATGTAGACTGCTCCTTCTCAGTGGAGCGGAGCATACCAGCAGTAATAGTATTTGCTCAGGGAGGAATGCACAGTATACTGGGCCAACAAATGACTCAGGCTCATGAAAAAGCCTGATAATTACTTGAAAATAGTTATTAGATCTGTTTGCGAAAGTGGCACTCAGAAGCAGCACTTTATTTTCAGGTGGTTTTATGTGAAAGCCATCACCTGGCGGTTTATCTAATAGTCCCAGCAAACTAAATTTGAGCAGCTGAAATTTATTCAACTAGTAAATAATAGACTTATAGCCGTGCGTGTCATCTTTCATTTTGGTCTCATGCTATGCCACCGATTTCGCGGTATAAGGTTGCTCAACAATCGAGAATAGCTGGGGGTCGGCTAGTCCTCCCACACATTCCTCGTGAAGACGTACTCCCCGACTTTTCACCACACAAATAAAGAATAACACAGAGGATCTTTTCGTTACTACCAAAGTCATTCTCAAATGAGTGCGTCTCACCAGACGTTTATACGAGCTAATGAAAGAACCTCGTTAGTGACATTTGTTTATTTAGGCATTTGCTCTGTGATTAGCCCATAGACTATCCGTGTATAAAAACCATTGTATTGAGTTCAACTGCGCTTACAATAATCCAGCCAGGAGCCAATTAAGCAAATAAACTCAGATGATGCTCACAAACGATCCAACCAGACTGGAGCGGGACATAGCTGTTGCACTTTATACCTTAATCACTAGGTCAACTTTGACCTTTGAATCTAGTAATCTAATAATCTTGGACTTCACAACTTTGGCCCCCCTGATGTAGCGGAGGAGACGAAACGCGATGCTTGTTAGGTGACTTAACTATCCACCCAAATTACTAGCAGGCATAACCTGGTCAAGTTTGAACACAACGAGTTGAAATTAGTGACCTAAATCTCATCAGTCACGACAATCGATCGTGCCTACCTTGCGATTCCCGATAGAGACAAATTATTCACGTGACCACGTTAGTCAATATTCTTATGCAAAATGGCTAACTTCCTGTTTCACTCTACAATGTACTGTGTTGGTCTTTTCAATCAATCGAACATGTGAAAACCCAGAGGGATCTAGCAGGCGACTAAAGCCGATAACGAGTAACTTGACCTTCATGGAAGTTGGTAAAATTTTACTCACTTCAAACCAATCAGTTGTTTGCAGGGGATTCACATTCGAGCTTAATTTAGAGGCAGTGCAATCAGGCACAGCCCCATAACTCACGATAAGCATCAGCTTTTTCCGCAACTTCATTTTCCATTTAACGGACAAACAGAATACACATGAAAATATCATTATAAATTTATTGGCTGAGTGAACGGAATCTGAAAATGTCCGGTTTTACCGCGCACAGAATAAATGTGATCCGTCCGGCTAGTTGACCATATTTGCAGCGACGGACGTCTCTGTCAGTCTGCATGGAACCGCAGATGAAGTATAAGGATCGTGAGCACCAATCACAAGACATTCACTTTTTGCATTCTCACCGGCTTTTGCTCGGTTCACCGCAGAAGAAACTGGGGCATGTCGACTGGAGTTTCCAGCCGTCCAACATTTTATTCTTTTTATGTAAAACACCTTACAGAATGTCAACCGAAATTGTTGAGACATGGTTGTGTAGATGACAAAGTTTATCGCTTCGTTTACTAAGGTAGTAAAGTCAATGAAGTCGCCCAAGTGGCGGTAGACTCGTTCATAGAAATCTGGGATTAGATGGAGACATATCACAAGGACACCTTGTGGCATTTCAACAACAAGGAAGAATATAAGAATTGTTAACAAAAGCGACGTGGTACGATTTTCATTGTACTGCTGGTTGCGTTCATCATTCCTCTTGCTCTGGGGCATCTGAGGTCTCTGGCAGTCTGACAAAAGAGTTTGGCCATGAGTTCTTTCTCGGAGACAATGTAGCTTTTTACGGCGCCTTGTCGCCAAGCGTAATTCGTATATGAGCAACACAGTAAGGGTGGCTAAGAGAAAACAGGGTAAGATTTTGTATACGGTTGCTTGTGACCAGAAGTTGAACACAAGCATACATTGCGTGTGAAACTGTTTCCAACAGGATTCGGTTGATTCGTCCAGGCTAGGAACGTTAACAAAATAATAGACACGTAGACGTTGAATATTGTCACCGGGTCCTAGACATGAATCCACATAGTTGATCAAGGTATTTGGAATGACTATGACAAAACAAATCACGATGGCTATAAAGACTGAAGTCATTGCACGACGTTTGGTAGCAATTCGAGGCCCCACTGACGGAAACCCGATGTGTATGTATCGGAAAACCGCAAGTATAACTGTGATCCAAATTGCAACAGAATGAAACACAATAACCCCACTCGCTGCCCCAGTCTGGTAGGTCACCCAGCTTTTTGAGGGGCTATAGATAGGACTTTTCATAGGAGTAGGTTGGGCAATGTAGAAGTGACACAATCCGGGGACGTAGATTAACATTGTTATCAGGTCGGCCACGGCCAAACATAGCAACAACTGGTTTGTAGCAGAGTTCGCTAGAGCTGGGCGGGTTAGCACGACAATGTTGGTCAGATTTGTGGATATTCCGAATGCGCAAACTGCAAGACTAAGTGGACCATGAAGTTTCCCAAATGATACACCAAACCAAGCTAACCAGTCTTGATTGATAGCCACCGACGTATTGACAGAATCGTTCCAAAGTTGGAAGTCCATGCATAATGGGAGAGACTGATTCATTTAAAAGGCGAATTTCTTCGTTTGACACAAATAAAACGAAGTGTTTCTAAACAGGTCATGATAGACCCTGCTGACAGGAACTCCAAATTACAGTAAGCCAGATTTTGGGCAACTATTCTGTGGCTTGACCAATAGGAGAGTTCCTTGGCCATTGCCCAATCGGAATAACGGTTGATGTGAATTGACTTCACGAGCCTATTACTGGGTATGCAGACCGGGAAATCCAAAATGAGTGAACAGTTTGTTGACGGCTTATATTCCATACTTCTATCTATTTTCTGTCAGCTCCGGTTCGTCTGATCACATTAGAGTTGAACGTAGTCCTTTGAAAAATAAAAAAATAGCTAATATCACCAAATCAAATAAAGGATTGTGTTTGCTGGCTTTGGAATAACAGGAAAAGTGACACAGAAATAAGGTGTCTTCATAACTGACTGAACATACGACTGCAATAAGGGTTCAACACAAGTCTATTGGATTGAAATTCTACCACGGAGCTCGTTCAGCTTCGAACAGATTTGAAGTATACACCGCTTTGTATCATTCTTTGTTGACAGAAACAAACTCCCTTTCTTCCAGACACTACAGTTGTCATGACATAATTTCCTACAAACTCGTGTGCGAAGAAATCAATTTGGATAGCCGTATGCAATATAGCCACCCAAAAAACACGTCATGGAAAGGTAGTTCAACGTTTGTCACATGGCCTGTTTTGTTAAGTGCATTTGATAAAAACCGCATGTATCCTGCTGGAAGAACAATCTTGGAGATAAAGCAACTAGTAAGCGGTGGCCGATTACTGAGAGGCCGAATTTTCTTATAAAGCTGCGCAGAATTATAAAACCATACCGGGCACATTCCAAAAATATATATTTCTATCATTTACCTGACACCTAGCTGAATGGGTTTTTCTTCAAAGATTCACTTGGGCAGTAGTGCTGAAGTTGTACCGTTTACAAGACTGTCATAAAAAGCTATAAAAAAATGACGTTTGAAAGATGCGTTAACAAAATCAGCAAAAATTGCGATTGCGGTTCCGATCATCTATCTTGTCAATGAAGTGGGATAGTCCTTTGATCAAAATCCTGTTCGTTGGTTTGGCTGGGCAATTTGATTGCAAATTTTTCATCACCAATCAAGTGAGCGTGGCGGTGGATTAGTGGTTGTGGCACAACCATTACGCTCCCCAATAGCGCACTGATGATGTCACCTCGATTGGTGGTGAAACGTTTGCAATCAAATTGCCCAGCTCAGCAAACAAGCCGTCAACCATCTACGCCACCTGAGCTACCGACATTTTTCTCTATAGAAGAACAAAATCTTTCTGGTATAGTCCATGCGCTTGTAAGCACTTCCGGTTCGTTTCACTCTGTAGAGGAATTCAAAAGTTTGGAAATTCGATATTACTGGATTAAGTAGTTTTATTTTTGAATCAATATGGAAAACCACGCCCACGCATTGTTTTGGTAACATTTGGTATCCAAATCGCTTTATTCGAAAATGTAGCCAGTTCTCATTATTCTTTTTCTTCTTACCAAGTAAACTCGTGGTTTTTATGCTAAAACCCCTGCGTTAATTTTATTGTTCAAACTAACAACGCTGGACTCATCCCTAGATTAACTTCCATCAACGACGGCTTACACATTCTACTGCAACTTAAAGTGGAACCAAGCTTTTTTGCTGTCGGTAATTCTATAAAAAAATGGCCAGGAATTTAGTCCGTAGAGCTTTCATTCGTCTTTTCTCTTCCCTGTTGTTGGCTCCGTCTGGCTAGAGCTTCTTTTTTCTGTCGACTGAACCTGGAATTCCATGCCCACAACCTTGCATCCACCCATAAAGTATTACATACATACATACACACACAGTCCATCGGTTTTCTCTGATTGATTATCATTTAGCGTTGGATTCCGTTATCACTCATTTTATAAATTATCGACTCTTTTACATTCTGACGTTCGGCTGTCTACTGAGTGCAATAAAAGTTATCCAGGCAAATTGGTTTTATGAACTTGAATCTTAAAGAACAAATTACCGTAGAGGTCATCTGCTGATTAGTGCTATAGGACTTGGTAACTTGCGAAAATGGGCATTTAATCTCTCCACATGATAGCTAATATCCATTTTTTGTCGACGTGCCTCTAATAGTAAAGTACTCACGCATTTACAATATGGATAATGCTGATAGATGAACGCGCCTTTTGACTTCTCCCGCATACATTTTTTCCTACTCAGTATTAAACCTCAACCCTTGTCCTTGTGGCTTGTTGATTCCCAAATATTGTGACCGTTTGATTTTCATTTACTGATCCTATTTCTGCAACATCGATCGCCTACTCGGATGGTCCAATTGGACCCTGGCTAGTAATTTAATGCTGCTTTATTTCCTTTCTTGTTCCATCAACCTGAACATAACTTTCATGAGCCCACCTATAAATGTATCTAACTTTACTAACCTCGGGGTGTCCGTTCTGGATTAACTAATCGGCACTTGTGGATCCCTCTAAGAGAACATCAGTGAACCACATTGTGTTATCTGTTCCGTTGAAAGATTAGTACTTAGTCTCGGTCTTTTTTTCAGGACACTGAGTGTTTGGTCGATTATCTGGAATTACAGCGTGGCTTATAACATGTGTATGCTCTTTTATCATTGAGTTTATCGACTTCTGTCACATCCCAAAAAATGTTTCCATAAAAAACCTATCCAATGGCAAGTAGGTAGGAGGATATTTAACTTTCTTGCAATATTAAGCACGAAATGAACCACTGAAAAGGCGTCGCTCATTTATAATCAAAACGCAGTTACGAAAGACATCAGTTTGATCAAGACGTCTTCAGGATTAGCGGCAGGACCATTCAACGGAGTTTGTGAAATGTCAGTGGATGTTCAAGTTAACTCTTAAGCTTTCAATACAATAATGTCCGTCATAACCTTCTGTGAAGCCTATCGGTTATGATATAACTTCGGATATAAGGGTACGGTTGTCACAGATAGTTGTGTAATATTTCGCTTATGACAAGTAGTTGTAATACATCCTCTATCCTAATGAAATTTGAGTACAAACTTCCGATAAAGTTCTGCATCTATCCTGTGACTTTAGTATGCTTCCGTATTTTTATGCTTTACCTCCAAATGTGGATCAAGGAGGCCTATACACACCACAGGCCAAACACGATAACAGACCGTCAACCACTGATAGGTATGTGGATTTGCGCTGCCCGTTTTGTACGCAGTTTTTACTCTGAACATTACTGTGTATCATCAGCCGGCCCTGATGGCACCTTGTCACACCAGATGACATGCAGCTGACAAACTTTCGAACATGCCTAAGCGGTTTTAATCAACCACTCTAAAGAAGGTGTCTGTCAATTTTCCTGTCATGTTGTCTAACCAGATGGCAAACAAATAAGTTAAAGAGAAAAACATTCAAAGTGTCAAGAATGATAGAATGGTCGAACGCATTGATATAACGAATAATCCAATTATAAGAGATAAAAAAGAATGGTGAAATACGATAGACGTCCTTGTCAGTTAAATTGCTAAAATGAGTCAATCGGTTTCGATGAGGTAAATAAAAGACAGTTCAGCTTTAACGCTATTTTCTACAGCGTTTTAGTTTTATTTGGGAGCTACCGGGAGAGCTACCGGCTAACCGCCAAAGTGGGAACCTTCCTTATCATTAAGTTTGACCTATTAGAGCTTTAACTTCTCGAATATTATGAGCTTGTTCCAGAGTTGACTTTCTTCGCCATTACTACACCGGCTAGCGCCACATGTTGTTAGCTGGATCAAATATTTCAACGCAATGCAAGTGTGTTCCGCCACTGCCTACAACTGACTGGTATCACTGGATTTTGCAGGAACTCAATTCTCTGTCCACTATCATACACTCATCGGTTGGAAAGTGGGGGCCGCTTGACACCTTCAGTGCCAATGAACTAGAAACTCAAGTATAGCTCAAATCGCAGCCTGCCCATCAACACGGAAATTCAATGTAGATATTTCACCTTCACAGAGGAGACTATTCACACGTTACTGAAAACTCGTCGAGAGCCCACGACCGGTTTCGCCCTTCTTGTGGCTCGTCATGTCAGTGCAACCCCCGAGTTTCCATCAAACTTATGTCCCACTTGAACATAAATTGGACTAATGCCGACAAATACACTCACTTGCAAATCAATTTGCTTTTTACGGGAGACTCATCTGAATCTCTCGTTTAAGATATCCTCCAATAGAATATGCTGAACAAAGGCCGCCTGATGTTTCAGTTGTTACGACGTTCGAGATAAAGATATGCAAATGAGTGTATTAGCTTAATCATTTTTCTCCGTCCTTCCTTTTGGTAATAATGCGAACAGAACGCAGTGTATGACTCTACTGGTGGAATCTACTCAACTGCCGTTCGTTTTCAAGTAACAGCCGACTGGTTTTAACCGGAAGACAACACGTCAGACTTGCCTAATTCCCAGATGCTGAATAGACTAAACTTCCGCTTGAGCGCAGATAAACCACTCAGTTTTATTTGGCCTGGCAAGTTAACTTGACGAACGGTAGTGACGGTGAAATTCTGGAATGGCTGCTCCAACTAGAATGTACCCACTCACTGGAGTCAATAACAGGCTTTTGTCTGGACAAGTTTGATGAAAATTTCGTACGTTTTAATGGAGGCACGAAACAACCAAGAAATATCATGCTACTTATCGAATCATTTTGTGCACTAAAGACATACATTTCAAGAATATCTTAGCGCCTGACTATAAACCAGAGGTATGTGGGTAATCAAATTACTCAGGCAGTCTTAGGTTACATTTTTAAGGCCGATATCCGTGATCACTCTGAACTGCAGAACACTACACTTTTAACATCAAAGGAGTTGTGTACAAAAATGTTTCAAATAATTTAATGAGGTTCATTTTAAAGCTAATTTTGTGAGTTTGTAGTTGATCTGAAAGATCATGAAGTGGAATATCGGAAAAAAAACAGGTGGGTGAGTGAAAAAAGCAATAATCTCTAGGGACGCTCCGAAATGTTCCGACTTATCAGTGAAACCAAACCGGGCAAACTGTTGATGAGACAAATTCTCACAGAAAACGACTAATCCTTAAACTACACCTGGTCTTGTCATTTGGTTCAGTGAGCACAAAGAACACCTAGCTGACCTCCGGCATCCAAACTGACAAAACATACGGAGGGTGTTTTTCTTGTGACATAATCACTAAGCTCCAAATTGAGATGGAATTTGTCGCGAAATCAGCTCCTATAAAATGAAGAAAGGATTCGGTTTACATAATCAACCTTTTGTTTGGTGTAAGAGTAGAAGAAAAA